GAACCCACTGCTCCCTTTTGCAGTCTTTGGTCTGGCATGTGGCCCCGGGGTGGCTCTTGGTATTCCTGAGAATCTCCAATCCCAGAAAAGGCTCTGATGGGGCAAGAGCTCCTCCAGAACAGCTGGATCGGTATGGGTCTCCCCAAAACCAATCAGAGCCTCAGAGCCTGACATTGACCCAGGCCTCCTGATCTTACCCCATCCTCCATCCAGGAGGGGGTGCTTGAAAGATCTAGAAGTGATCCTAGCTACCTGTTTTACTTGCTGATGCTGCAAAGGATCCACACGGACCTTTAGGAGAGGTCTTTGGGGTGACCCTTGCCTCTGTACCAGGACTTCCTTGGAGGAAACCTCTGAAAGGCAGAGGGCGGGCCCCTCCAAGCACACAGCCCCACTGATTATCAGGCCTGACAAGAGAATTTGTATTCTGAGCCATACACCCTCACCCCCCTCCCATTTGCTCAGCCTCTGTCCTTATCTCAGTAGCATCTCTGTAGGACTCCTTGGGGTGACTCCCTGCCATGAGAAACATTTTCCAGAGGGTTTTCCTCCTGGGGTGACTAGTTTTGGAATCCCTGAGTCACTTCAATTTCCAGGGAATCCTTGGGGGTGTGGGGAGATGGGGGTGGCAATGGGGAGGATGCTGGAGGTGAGAGCAAAGGAAAGTCTGCCCAGCACCTGACATCAAGGGTGCCTCCCAGTGTGTCCTCACCTGCCTGGGCCTGACCTGGCAGGCAGAGGGGACCTGCTGAGAGTCCCACCCTTGTGTCCCTGGGAAGAGAGATCAGTACCCAGTAGGAAAGGGAAGGGAAGATATGATGGAATACCCTCCCACCACTGGCCAGGAAAGGCTCTTTGGGCTTGCAGAAAGCTATACTACAGCTGTCTTGTCCTTACTCAGAAAGACATTCAAATCCTCACTTGCTGCCTTGAAGTCTTGCCCCTATCTCTGATCAGCTCTTAACCTTGGGCCCTTTTTGGTCCTTTCTCCTTATTTGTAGAAGTAGGAGGCGGGGACTAGGAGTGTAACCTGGATGGCTACGAAAGTGCCAACCAACTTAGCCGCTCTGGACCTCAGCTCCTGAAATACTCCTGAAACCATAGGATTCAGCAGAGTTTATTGAAGCTTCTCTGCACTCATTTGATGTGAGGTGGGGGCACTGGTGGTTAAAATGCTGACATACCTCTGCCCTTGCTGCTAAACAGATGATATCCTCAGCCCTACAACCTCCCTGGAATCCTGCATCTAATTCAGGCAGGCACCTCCAGACCACTGTAGGACTGCATAGGGTCCTACAGGCTGTGGTAGAGCACTTTGTGAGTGATAATGGTACTGGTTGCTAATTATTTGTAGTGTCGCCTTTAGTTACAGAGATGCTTAGGCTCAGGAGCTTGCACTGAAAGAGAACCCAGTCTGGCCTGGGAGACACGGGGAACCAGAGTGCACAGGACAAGAAGCCCCACAACTCCCTTCTCAGCTGGACGTTGGTGTTTCCCCACAGAGGACCTACTGTCCCGGCTGCCCTTGTATTCGCCCATTCACCAAATATCTATTGAGTACCTACTATACACCAGGTACTATTCTAAATGCTAGGAATGCAGAAGAGAACACGCCAGATACGATCCCAGCCCCGTGAAGCTACCGTCTTAGGAAGAGACAGAGGATAAACAAGGAAACAAGATAATTTCTGACAATAGTAAGAGCTATGAAGAAAATGAAACAGTGTTACGAGATAGGGAATTTACTGGGGGAGGAGGGCGCTGCTTTAATTTGGAAAGCCAGGGAAGGTCTTTCTGAAGATTCAGAATTTGACTTCATGAGGAAAGGGGTCTGGGGAATGAGGGGTCCAGGAAGAAAGAGTGGGACATGAAGAATCCTAGAGGTGAGAAAGAGCTGGGCGTCTTTAAGAAGCGGAAAAGACCATGTGGATGGAAAACAAAGGATGAGAGTGGGAAGTGGGTGGGATACGATGAGGTGGAAGAGGCAGGAAAGGACCAGACCACATAGGGGACTACAGGCTGTGATGAAGCATTTGGATTTTATTCCAAGATCAGTGGGGAGATGTTGACTGGATTCAGGCAGACCCACCTGGTGTGAGTTTCCTCTAGGGCAGGCACTATGTATTTGATATTCTGCTGCCCTCTGGGGCTGGCATCAAATAACAGTCATAGTAGCTTATATCCAACATTTACACATCATAGGCCAGGCACTGTTCTCAGGATTCTCTTAATCATCACAACAAGCTGATGTTATCAGTTCCATTATTATCCCACTTTACCAACAGGAAACCAGAGTCTCCAAGAGGTCATGTAGCTTGCCAAGGTCATTAGCTAGTGTTGGAACCAGGATTAGAATCCAGGCAATCTGGATGCTGAGGGGTCCAAAGGGAGGAGAACTGGAAGAATGCATGAGCACCTGAGAAGTTTTGAGTAGCAGGAGAAACAAGAACAGGTCAAGGAAGTCATGGGGTAGAAGACCAGCTGGTTGGCCCTGCTGAAAAGGGGAGAGAAGACTGGTACCCAGAAAGCCAGATAGAGAGATTCCTTCCCTTCTTTCCCCTGAATATAGCAAAGGCAAGCTCCAAAGCTGAGGGCCTGGCTGCCTGAGGCTGCCACCATCCCCAACCCAGAATCTTAGCTGCCCACCCAGCCTGGGCTTTCTCCAACCTTACCTGGAACCCACAGCTTTACCTGAACCAGTTAGAATCACCTTCAACCTCTGTGAAGGAGAGGGAAGGAATGAGGCATAGGGACAGGGAAAAGGCTCCTCCTGCCCTCGGCAAAAAACCTTTTCAGCTTTTCATGAAAGCACAAGTTGCAGGGAGAGCCAATGTGGAGAGAAAAAGTGGAGGGAGATCACTGAGCTGGGCACTTTACACACATTCGCTCTTCACCAAAGTCACGGTTACAGATGATGAGCTGAGACTCAGAGATGTTATATAACTTGACCAAGGTTACACAGCTAATCACCCAGGATTCACTCCCAAGTCTGTCTCCATTCAGTGCCTAGGCACTCCAGAAGCAGTCTTATTTTCCTGCAGATTTGCACTCTGCTGC